GAAATTTTATTTCAACGAAATCACTTGAAAACTACCCACCACGCATTTCTCGAAAACCACCGATCAAAAGATAAAACGCCGAGTCACGCCAAAAGATTTGTCAAGACGGACAACTTTTTAACCAAAAACTACTTTACCCCCTTTCACCCCCGACTCCCCAGAGTCATTCCCTTAAGAATTTTAAATGACAAGCGATACCGAGTAATAGCCTGTTTGAAAGGTCATTCGAAGTCCTTTATGTTAACGTTTGATTTTTTAAAATCAGTCGATTCATTTTCGGAAAAATTATAAAAATCTTTATTTATCTTAATTTGTTCAGATACAAAACAAAAATACACGAAAATATCACTTTCTCTTTGAGTAAGTATTCAAAATGTTGCTCGTTAGGGTTTGCCAAATCTACAATTTGATTATAATTTAAAACGGAAACTACCAACATAAACAGCAATTCTGAAGATTAGACGTTGCAAGAACTAAATAACAACCCGATTTTTTTCCGCATTATTTTTATCAAACACAGATATCCTGGGCGAACTGTATTTACTGTTATACCTGTTTAGTTATTTGTTGCTAAGAGAAAGAAAGAATTTAATTTGCTGTCAGATACCTTTGTGACAAGCTTGGGATAGTGAACATTAATTTATTGATTCAGATTTTACTTCCAAAATGATTTACACACTAGCCGGAAGAGTGGAAATCATTCTAATTTATGGTGCCCGAAATCAATGTGCTCGACAAACTGCCATCACGTTTAGTGCCAGACATCTGATCAGGATATGTTTTGGATCTTGTTACTAAATTTACTCAAAGTGGATCCATTGCAAATGAAGATCATCGCTCAAGTTGAAGGTTTGGGTCATATTGTAATAAATCCTAATACTTCATTACGCAAAACTGTTGCTGCGACTGATATTTCACAGAGGTTCTGTACACACAGTCGCTAAACTCTATAAATTTCATCCATTCAAAATGAAAATATTGCTAGAGTTAACCGAAAACGATCTCGATAGGCTAGTTGAGTTTTGTGAACAAAAGCGATTAATGATAATGCCATTCACGTAAAGAATATCTGTTTCAGTGATGAATGCACATTTTATCTAAATGGATTTGTTAATAAGCATAACTGCAGGTATTGGAGCAATAAAAATCCTCATGCTTTTGTAGAAGGGCATACCCTGTACTACCAAAAAGCACCAATAGCGGGGAACATTTTGAATACTTATTGAAATAAAAAGTGATATTTTAAGGTAAATAAAGATTTTTCTAATTTTCTTGAAAACGAATTGACCGATCTTAAAAAATCGAACGTCAAAATAAGGAAAATATTTCAAACAAGTTAATACCCGATACCCCTTGTCATTTATTAGACGAGCGACCCTGGGGGCCGAGGATGAAAGGGGGTGAAGTAGTTTTTGGTTAAGAAGTTGTCTCCCTTGACAGATCTTTTGACGTGTCTCGGCGTTTTATCTTTTAATCAGTGGTTTTAGATAAATCCGTGATGGTATGTTTTCAAATGAACACCATGTATATAGCAATAACCATAAGCAAGAGGAAGCTGTGATCGAATTAGGAATAAAATAATTTGCTGGATCGCTTTATTTCCTCAATGATTTTTTTTTGGGCCTCCTGGGTCCTGTCTAGAATTGTTCTGTCATCGGAGGTGATTTATGGGTTCTTATAGTATCTCATCACCAGGTTAGCTGCTCTTGGTTCCGGAGACCTGTTGGCGTTTTTGGGGATTGAGCTTATGTGGTCACTCTTCTTCACATAACATCCCATACATGTTCGATGAGCGAAAGGCCTGAAGAGCTAGGAGGCTAAGAAATAAGCAGACTTGAATGTTATTCAGGTAGTACATTGTATCTTGTTAGAAAATTGGGTTCTCAAGCGTTGGGAGAAATAATACGAGATAAGGTTCCAGTGATGTCCTGGATATACCGTTATGCCACGATGATCTTCCACCATATATGTGTATCATTGCACTCAAAACAGTATAGTGCACGTGACGTTTAAGTGAAATTCATGTATTTCTCCGCTGCGGCTTCTGACACTTGCCCGTCCATCATACATTCCTAAATAGAACCGACCGACATGACAGCAAGAAAATTGGAATTAAAAACATATTGTTTCAGGTGATGAGTCTCGGTTTTGTATAAGTAAGTAAAAAAGACGTAATGTAAAGTTTTCAGCAAAGCGTGACGTGCATTATATTGTATTATTTATCGATACAGTGTTTCATTAAAAATGGTGCTGGGTTACCTTTAGTTGTCAGAGGAGCTATGGCGACGTTACGTTATATTGAAGAGATACTGGAACATCACATTTTGCCATTTTCCAAACGCGTGCGAAACCAATTTCTTCAACGAGATAATACCCGCTCACATATTATTAGAGCTACAATGGACTATATTAATAAAAATCAAACAAAAAAACAAATATTTGCCCATCAGAACATAGTTCCAGTTACAGGACAACAAAAAGAAAAAATATGTATATGTATTACCAAACTAAAGGTAAATAACCGAAGGAATATGAAAGAAAAATTGGTAGAGTTTCCAATAAGTAAATACTGAGAAGAAAAGAAAACATGAACACACCTTCCAATCCCGGCGCCTGCAGTGCTGCCAAAACGAGTACTATGTCGCCAGTCTCACCATTCAATTTACAGAGTTATTAGATACAACATTGACAATTTTGACAGCTACATGCAACGTTACTGGGGGAATATTAAAATCAGTTCGAAATAGTAAATCGAAGCAATCTATAGAACCATAAAGGAACTTTCAAAGAGTTGGCACCGAATTCTTGATTATTCTCAAATCCAAGGGATCCATGTTAAACTTACTACATGAAAGCTGTTCTCAGGATAGACTCCCTTAAGTCTCAAATATAAACATATCAGGACGTTGCACCCTCTCAACCATCTGCTTTTGGTATATATAGTAAGGCTTCTAAACAAATGAACGGTACTCTAATCTAGGCCCTAAAAACGCAAAACATAGTGTTTCTGAACCTTCAACACTGATGAACAATTTTCAATTTCTTAGAATAACGTTCATTTTGAACACCTATCGTGGCCTCCTTATTTTCCAAATATTTTACTCATTGAGCATGTATGGCACAAGTTGGGAAGAAGAGTGACTTTTTTACATCACCTCGACAAACTCTAGCAGATATTCTCAACCAAGTATAGCTATCTTGGGATCACATACATCAAGACATAAATCAACCTCTACCCCTATCGGGGTCACCCAACACATTATTAGAAAGTTCCAGCGATACAGCAAATGTTTCCACTTCCACATTTTTACTAGGTGATATATTTTTTTGTCCATGAGTAGGGGAGACCGGGGTGGTTGACTAGTTTTTTACATCATACATAAGTTTTTGTAATTTTTTACATACAGATAATAAAACTGCATCAATGGATAGAAGAACTAAAAACTAGTCCATTATTCAGTTTAATGATCATAATTTAACGCATTTTACAGAACACCAATTCTTAGTCAATTTACCCCGGCTCCGGGGTAGATTGACTATATGCCCGGGGTAAGTAGACTTACGTATCAATAAGTGACAAATTATGAGAAGAGTCAAGTTATGAAACTTTTTTTATAATTTAACAAAACTTTTTATTCAAAAAAAATTTTAATCAGTTACAGACATTATTTTACAACAAGTCTTTAACAAAACTATCAACTCTTAGTTTTTATTTAAGCATTTATTAGTTTCATTAATTAAACAGTTCCTTTATATCTTATAAGTCTTCAATATCAGAAGCGTAATATTTGCATTCCAGAAACATTAGATCACCTCTTACACATTTGGAATGAGCCCATAACTTACAAGTTATGCACTGAATCCATTGTTCGCCTGGAACACTATCGACGTAAGATTCAGTGCACCCTTAACAAATCGTACTCTCGTCATCTGAATCTACAGCATTACCGTCATTTTCATCGCCGGTGTCATCAGCAATCTCATAAACTTTATCCGTTCCTTTTCCTTTGCATTTTCCTTTTCCTTTGACCTTACCTTTTCCTTTTTCTATTCTGTCCTTTGTATCTCTTTTTTTTTCTTCTTATATGTTTCTGTTTTGTTTTTCATATCTGAAAGATTTAGTTTTTCCGGGGTGTCGGTGTATATAGTACTTTTACGTTTCCGAATATTTATTCTATTTTTTTAAAGTGGCGCCGCTTTTGTAAAGGGTCTTAGTTCTTCAAATGTTGCTGATGAAGTTGAGGAAAGGTTTAGATTGTGTAAATATGGGGGCACATTAGAATGTTTGATCAAAAAGGGAAGGTGACTCACATTTAGTCCTCAAAGATTTTATAGAAGAGGGTGTTGTGGTAGTAATCTGGTCTGTATTTACAGATAAACATTGCTGTGCCAGAGAGTGAGTTTCAGTTATTATATGGTGATGAAGAATTGGAACCTTTTCGACGATAGACAACCTGTTAGATGCATCGGAAGTCGATGGAATAGACACTGTGCTCACATCACATGCTGAAGGATTATGACCATTAGGGGAAGTGAGCATCGGCCTATCTGTCACATAATAACCACTAAACTCGGAGCCAGGAAAATGTTTTCATTCAATGATGAAATCCCGGATACTCCGAATCACGATTGAATATTTTCAATAATTGTAGCAGCCAATGGTAGTGACGTTTTAACCAGCTCCGGTATTTCATTAATTGTGATAGTCTTTCCCGGGTTACTAGCCATCCAATTGTCACATGCTCGGTTGATATACTTTTTCAATGGTCCATACACAGATCTGTCAAGAGGTTGTAGCTTGTGGCTACAATGTGGAGAGAATGATAAAACGGTCACCCCATTAGTTTTAAGGTAATCCAACGCGTCAATTGATAAACGAGAGTCATGGTAATCTAACAACAAAAGTACAGGTTTTTCTTTACTAGGTTTAACATGTTTCACGAAATGTTCGGCGTACTTCATAAAGTTCTTTTCTTTCATCCAGCCAGACGGGTTAGCATCACCTTCACATCCTATAGAGCCACCTCTAACAAAATGGGACTTATAATGGACGCGTGGGAATATGGTGGAACTATATTTCCTGCAGCTGAAACAGCTACTGCAACTGTCGCCAGTGTAACCCTCTCAGCAGATGTGATCTTGCCTAGATTTTTAACACCACGTCGTGCTATTACTCTATAAAGTACTTGCACGGTTGTCATACCTGTTTCACCAACGTTCCAGATACCACCAGGGCCTAAATTCAAACGTTGGTAAACAGCAGTTAAATAAGCGATGAACAAAAGAACAAAACGTTATGTTTGTTGAATAATGTTGCTCTTTAACGGCTTGTTGCTTGAGGTGTCTTATGGATAAAGAAGGATGACGTTTGAGAAACGAGCTTAACGAATCTTCGGCAGCTAACAATTTTGTTCTCCAAGAATCAGGCATAGCTTTGTTACTTTTTATGGCGAACTGACATGCTAATTTTCGGATCTCATATGGTGTCAATCCATAATAAATATCAGCGGCTTTCTTTAAATAACTTGCTGAAACTTCTTCTTGTTCATCAGTGAAAACTTGCCTATTTTTAATATATTCCTCTGAGCCCAAAGTTAATTCTGCTCTCGTCAATTTCGGATTACGTTCGAATTTCTCCTTTAGTTTCGCCACATATGTTAACGATGTAATATCTGATAGGGAATGTCATATTGTTTTGAAGTTGCATTAATACTTTTTGTGTCAAAAATTATTAGATGACAGGCTCTTTCTAGGACATCTTTTGGTGTATCCTCTCGTTCAGTCCTTCTTTCATTGGTACTCATTGTACTGTAACAAAATGAATATTAAAACACGAATAAAAGGTTAATTTACGAGATATTTTAAACTTCAAATTATATTGGGGTTGGTTGACTAACTATTCAACCAGCCCCGAAAGAAGTTAGTCTACCAAGCCCAGTCGCCATTTTAAGTTTCAGTGGCATGGGTTACCTAAACAAGAAATAATACATGAAATATCAATATGCACTCACGAAAAACTAATAGGCAAACGGTTAACATAAAATGTGTAAGTGTCAGATGGAAACATATGCAAAACGGCGAGCATCCGCGACGCGGCGCTCCGGACGACTGAGCGGGGATCGAAGAGTAATGCGCGGCTGGGCCGGGATGTCGTAATACTCATATCGTTGACGAGTTTTTGGCGGTTAGTCTACCTAACCCTATAGCCAACCATCCCCGGTCTCCCCTGTATGTATATTGTTGGAATTTCCAATACAATCCTTCATACAATATTGGGTACCAAACTTTAATTTATTGATAAATTCCAACATTCAATGAGTTTAGTCAAATTTTAATAGCAGTGAAAAAATCTGGTATGCTCAGAACATTTTTATGTGTATCACTTCATGACGAAACATACATATTAGCCTAATCATATTAGCAAATTTCCCTGAAATAATTGTAAAGTCTGATTTTATTATGCAAGTTTTTCAAGAGGGTATTTAAAATATGGACGCATGAAATGGGTACACCAATTTTTGTGGGAGCACTTTTTATTCGACAACAAAAAAAGAGAAAACATGTTTTTTGGGATTCAAATGAAAGTGTTGGCAGGAACGAAAGAACTTTTCGAGTAAGACTTTTAGGTGTTTATGAGACCTACATAATGAGACCACACGAAAATTGGAGTCGATTGGTCAAGTAGTTTTCAAGACCGCTATTTGAGGAGGATATTTTTCAGCTATTTTTATTGACAAATCCACCCCTACAACGTCATACCTCACGCCCTTGAAATTGATCCACACCGCTGCGAACGCAATTAGGGCTGACGCGGATACGGTCTGGCGCTCGACACGACACATCGTTTTAAGAACAACAATGTGCATAACCAATAATGGAGGAAATTTTGGACAGCTTCTGTAACATTAAACATGTCCAAATTCTCTATAAGAAACATTGATTTGTCATTTTTATGCATATGAAGTTTGAAAACAATTTGCATTTTATTACACCCATTTTAACCCATGTTAGATAGCATTTATTGCTTAACGTAGAATACCTAGGATAACAAGAAGCTGTAGAATTAGCACAAAAAAGGTACAACTTCACAGGCTAGTTTTTGAATGGTGTGCGGAAATGCACAAAATAATCAATTTTCTTCCACATTTTTCTCTGTTTTTGTCTGTTTTTAAGTACGTTTGACGGTTAGTATCAAAACAAGTTTTTCAATAATTGCTTAGTCAGGATGCCATCGTTCAAATGACACCAAATTTATCATTCTGTGACAATTACGTACTCAGTTATTACAATTTTTATACATGCACTACCGTAATCGTAAAGTAAAAATAAAAATGGCTGCCATTTCAAGGGGGATGAGGTAGGAATTGTAGGGGGGTGGATTTGTCGATAAAAATAGCTGAAAAATAACCCTCTTAAATATCGGTATGTCGTGATCAAACACATTGTATTGTTAACGTTAAAAAGTTGCTAAGAAATTGTAGTAGTTCTTCTGAAAAGCTCACATTTGTTCACTTCTTTTTCGCTGAAACTGCTGATCATATCTGTGATTTTTTTACACGTAAATTTCTCTAATTTTTAGGCCATCAAAAAAGGTCTTAGCAATTTTTTTGCTAAAATGTGTAGTTTTCGCGCTACAGCTTGCTGATAGTTTTTGGCGAGGGGCTTGCGAGGCAAGGGCGGGCGTAGCTACAATCCTGCATACCACCAAACTGTCGCCGCACCGTCCAGCCATCCAGGCGTTGACGACGCAGACGATCTCTTACTACATGGTGGGGATATTCAGTAATAGTCCAGTTGAATTTCGAACCCTGAGCTCGCTTGTCAGTTTGACGTTCACCGACGTTTCCACAGCGAGTTTGCAGAGAGGACATCAGATGCTCAACACCATTGTCCATCTATTCTTTTCATATTTGCGTTGACGTGTACGTTAGCCCAACGTATAGACGCAGCTCAAGAACTCCTAAATCTCGTAACATGGTCGTAGATCAAGAACTACCGGTGATTTGCCAGGATGATTATGAAAATAAAGTGGAGCCTCGAAAACGAGTCTTTTGATGACTCATTGGGCTTCTATATCCTGTAATGTCTTATTATCATTGCCACTCAGTTATACTAAGTGACATATAAATCCAAACACCCAGTTTAAATGGTTTTATTTTAATAAAATTTTGTATAAGTACTTAATGAAGCATAATAAGTAAATGATTAAAATTTCAAAATGATTGCACTGCTTTAAAGCCCTTTGACCTTTAATAAGGTGTGAATGCACCCTGATGTGCTACGCATTCTCCAACGCGCCTAGGCATGCTTCTGATCAGGTGGTCAATGTCCTCCTGTGGTATCTCACTCCAGGCAGCCACCAACTCCTCTCGAAGTGCTTCTAGAGTCTGAGGAGGACGTTGCAAATTGAGCAATCTCCTACCCATCATATCCCACACGTGCTCAATTGGGGATAAGTCGGGAGATCTTGGTGGCCATGGTAACAATGTGTCATCATTATGTTGAAATAAGTCTATTGTGACTCTTGCAACATGTGGTCGGGCATTATTTTGTTGGAAAGTTGGATCTGCCAGGGTGTCAAGATAGGGTAAAAGATGGGGTTCTAGAACTTCGTGAATATAACGCTGCGCGTTCATGTTATCTCTGATGAAGATTAAATGTGACCTGGAACCATAAGCTATAGCACCCCAAACCATAACTCCAACAGTGTGATAAACATGTCTTTCAACAAAAAACTGTGGATTCCTCCTTTCACCACGTCGCCTTCTAACCCTGGCACAACCATCGTGCATGCCTAAACAAAATCGAGACTCGTCACCAAATACTATACTGTTCTATTCCTGATCCCAGAGTGACCGTTGTCTGCACCACTCAAGGCGATTACGTCGGTGTTCTCGAGTTAAAGGGAGGACCCAGTGTGGCCGGTATGAAAACAAGCCATAACTTCTCATTCGTCGGTAACCACTTCGCATGCCAATAGGTCTTCCGTGTTCTGCAAACCATTCATTTGCAATGGACCTGGTAGTGGAGAAACGGTCCCTTAAGGCCGATAATCTTAGGCGGCGATCTTCACGGTCTGTTGTTCTACGGCGGCGTCCAGTGCCCCTTGCTCTTTGCGTACGGCCTTCTCGAAGCCATGCCTGACAACACCTAACCACCAGTGTCTACACTTCTTTGCACTCTAACTGCAATTGCCCGAAAAGAAAGTCCAGCTTCCCGAAGTCCCACTATACGGCCCCTATCAAACTCACTAAGTTGACGAAATCGTACAGGTCTCCGTACTCTAGGCATCGTCACCGATCGTAAAGGATGTCAAGAACCAAAATCCGCCAACGTTGATTCTTTACTGCGGCTGAAATATTCATTTTTAGAGCGTTAGTGAATTAAAAAAAAGCTGTATAAAAACCGGAATGTCCAACTGATAAGGCTGAAAATTTTTTCACTTGTTATTTACAGTAAGATAAATACATTCACCAACTTTTATTAAAATAAAAGCATTTAAACTGGGTGTTCGGATTTATATGTCACTTAGTATATATACACGTTCACACCCTTTTTGCAGCTCTAGGTTTTGTGCAGTTGTTCCAATTCTAAATAAAAATACTATACCTCACTTATCCGGTCAATCGGTAAGCAGCTGAAGAGAAATTACTGCATCTTGTACTCTACTTAAACGGATAAATTTCAAAAAGGCATTAATATGCATACGTCGGTAAACACCACAACTACAAACGAGCTTATTATTCTAAATCGACGGGCCTATCACTGAGAGTGAGACACTGCGCACGTCTAAATATTAAAAGAGGATCGTCCGCTTCAACGGTGAGGCGGCTGGTGATATGTATAGGCCGGCCGTTGCCCCCGCAATCCCCCTGCCAACAATCTATCAGCTAGCTGTAGCGCGAAAACTAAGCAATTTAGCGAAAAAGACCTTTTTTGATAGCCAAAAAATTAGAAAAATTTACGTGTAAAAAAATTCCAGATATCATTAGCCGTTTCAGCGAAAAAGAGGTTTTTTGGGTATTTCGCTGCTTTACAAAAAAATTGTTGGCCTCCGGAAAACCAAACTCTTACGACAACATTCGCAAGCCTTTATTACACCATTACGCCAACGGACTGTCAATGTTATCACTTTTATGGTAGTTTCGGCTACTTAACTGGACTATAAAAGTTTAGTATGCAATGGTTCAATCAGTGATATCTTATGGGATATCTGCGTGGGAACAGTCAACTTACATACACAGAGTGTTTGTATTACAAAAAAGTATATTCAGAATCATCATTGGTTTCAATATTTGGAGTCGTGCCACGAAA